ATGATAATTGGACATTATGATTACTTCCTGTCTCTTATACACATCTAGATGCTTCGAGTCGGACCTTATTGCAGAATTGTGCAAAATTCTAGGGGTAGATAAGACACGGACGACACCTTACAACCCGAAGTCTGATGGCATGGTTGAGCGGTTCAACCGTACCCTTGTAAACATGTTGGTAACCATGCTAGATCCACATCGTAATCAAAGAGATTGGGATGAACATGTGCCATGTGCAACCTTCGCATATAGATGCACACCACAAGAATCGACAGGGGAAACACCCAATATGATGGTGCTAGGGAGAGAGGTAGCCTTCCCTCTTGATCTAATGCTACCCACTACTGGAGCGCCGGATATCGAAGTGAAGACCGACTACGTTGAGCAGCTTCGGACAAGAATTCGTGCAGCTCATGAACGGGCGCGCACGTATTGAAGCTTAGTGCACGACGACAAAAGAGGACATATGACCAGGAAGCGAGCAGACAGGAACTAGCAGAAGGGCAGTTCGTGTGGCTGTACAATTCGGCCAAGACAATAGGCAAGTCTCCAAAATTACAATGCCGCTGGCAAGGGCCATATGCAGTGGTAAAGAAATTATCAGAGGTAACGTTCAGGATCCAGGAAGGCCCAAGGAAAAAGTGCAAGGTGGTTCATATCGACCGATTGAAAGTCTATGAGGGAAAGCCTTTGCCATACTGGGGCACAGCAAGTGAAGCTGAAGCCAGAGACGAGAGGCCGGATATACAAACCCCAATCGAGATGGTCGAAACGACACCAACTGAACTTAACGAGTCGGCAGGCAGTAGTCAAGAGTTAGTTGACGAACTACTAGGTCCACAAAGCCTAGATGAATTAAGCGGTGGCCAAGAAGAAGTAGCAGAACTACAAGATAGTGGAAGTCCACCCGAAATCAACAAGGAATCAGCAGACGTCGTAACACCACCGACAGTTACTGTAGTAGAGCATAGTCGTCCTATGAGGTTCCCGAGGGCACGAAGAAGGCCCGCTCGCTACGACGAATGGTACAAGGGAAATATTTTTGCTCGGGGGGGGGGGGGGAAAGGGG